CCCGCGCTTGCGGGACGCCGCTCCCCGCAGCCGAAACCTGGCGCAGGGAAGGCAGAGCCTCCAGCGAGGAGACGAGCGTGGCTCTCCGCGAAGGCCGCCCCGAGGGGCGCTGGATGCCTGCGCCGGGGTCTCGGGGACAGGCGGAGCCGGGGCGTCAGGGCTGAAGCCTGGGTCCAGTTCTCAGCAGCCCCTAAGAATCGTGCGCACCGGGGCATCGACAGTCACGGCTTCCATGCTTCCGGAGCCAGACTCGGACAGCAGCAAATGGAACGTACTTAAACTTCCCCTGCTAATTATGGCCCGCTACTACAATAATAAACTCATCAGTCAGAGCAACAGCTATTTAGGTTCCATTTTTTCAGGCTGCACAGTAACTAGCCAATTAAAAGGAATGTTAACACTAGGATAACGAAGATAAAAATGCATTGTCACAGGCATTTTGGATTATGTTATGTAGAAGAGATAAACGTAACCTTTTTGGTCATCGGAGTATTTCATTCAGGCACGGTAAGAGAGGGGATGCAAAAGGCTTGGGTACACGCAGAACAGATGGAATTATCCCAAGGATTCATAAAACAGAATACGCTTGAGAAAAATACTGCCCACTGGGTTTTTTTATTCCCTCTTAAACAATTTCTAATAGAAAAGAATTGTATACAAGAATACTCCTGTACAGAAATCCCTTATATCTACCAAACAATCTTGCCGAGTGTTCCAAATGGTCGCAAGAAAACATCTCTTAATACGCACAAGAACATAAATCACCTTCTGCATCTATCAAAATTCTCGCTTGGGAGAAAGTGGCGTAAAAATTTAAACCAATACTGGAAATGAGATGTTTATCGTTCTTGGAAAATTACTCTTTGATCACAGGTAAGACAGACAGAAATCTTTATATAAAAATGTCATTAAAATATCACAATATTGATAAATTCCTACAACACTGCAACTCTAATTTCACTCAATATAGGATTCTGAGATAACTACATAACATCTGTCACTAGACTTACCTGTGATGTAACGTTAAAAACATGTCTACATGGTTGGTGTGGGTTTAGTTTTGAGGCAGAGCTCAGCTCATGCTTCCTGGAGTCCAAAGTGGTGGGAGGCCAAAGAGCCCAGATCTGAAAGTGCTGTGTTCTATGCAGTGTCAGAGTGCACTGCCTTCAGATCAGAGCTAGCCAGTGTCCACATACCTTGGAGTATTGGTAAAGCCAGAAAAAAAAAATACCCATTACAAAAAAAAAAAAAAAGTCAGTCAGACATGCAACATCCTTCAGAAATGCACAGGTGTCAGAAAGGGTCACCCGCTCTGACTTCCACCCCTACATCAAAGTAAGGTGTGCTCCTCACAGGAGTTACTACTTCAAGCGCTCTAGAGGCTGTCTGCTGTTCTCTGGAGCTGCTTCTAAGCAGTCGTCCAAGTAACGTTAACTTGGCCAAGAGCTGGGTGTTAGCTCTTCAAAGCACAAGAACAGCTCTGCGCGCCTGCTGTGTGCAGGCAGAGCAGAATGTGTACCTACCGCTTACCACGTAGTTTTTGAACAATCTCTTACTCCTTCTATTAGATAAAACAAATCACAACCTGTATTATGTTCTCTAGCTACTGACAAGGTGGATTTAAGTGCCATCTGCACAGTTGGAATTATTAACTAAAGCTCATAAAAATAACAAACGGGAGAGGAAATAAACTGTCACAAGGGAGTACACATCATAAATACTTCATTGTTAAGCGTCTGTGTGCTGCGATTATTAAGACGGTGCAACAATGCAAGCCTTTGCCATCAAGAGTATGTAATTTCGGAAAAATGCAGAGAAAACAGCCCACACATTTTGAAGGACAAAACAAACATACAAGGAAACACCTGAAAGAACAAATCAAAACCCATCCTTGTAGGGTAGTTTCATAATAGTCTCTGAAGTCAAGATTTGGAGATAAGGTTATTTTGTGACCTAAGCTTCACAGTCAGGCAGATCTTCTCTCCCCACCTCAAAAGATTCTTTGCTGATTGACAATAGTTCACGCAGCTCTTTGTTTTCAAGCTGCAAAATCAATATTTTTGCTGAAATAGAAATGAGCTAATTCACAATTAAAGGATGACAATCTTTAAACAGCCCCACTCCTTCACAGCTAAATAAAATGCTGGTTTTGTAACATAAGCATTAATACAGTGCTAGCAAGAGGAGACCCACATCATTTAAAGCTTATCTTTTGCTTCTGGCTTCATATATGTAATAGAAACATCAGTAACTTGAAACAGCTCATGTTCTGCATTTCCTGACCCCACCCCCAAATTTTTGATTGTCATAAATCCTTAACACATACAAACGCAGAAAGTCCAGGCTAAGTCTACAGACTCCCAAAGCTTGATCTATCCTTAGCAACTATATCTGTTCTTACCTCCAACTGAGCTAGTTTCTCCTGAACTTTAAAGAACTGATCATCATCGACTTGAATAGCTTTTCTCATCACCTCTCCCATCTCACATATTCTGTCTATTTGACTTTCAATTTCCTGAAAGACATAAGAGTAATATATTCAATATGTTCAGGCAAAAGCAGCAGTAATAATTTAACCTTTCCAAAGCAACTACTTTCATTCTCTTGGATTATCTTCCTGTTTTGAACGTTAACCCTTTCCTCCCAAGCACTTGCAATCCTAACTTGTATAATATTTAAAGATGAAAACATGTACCTTCATTGTCCATTATCATCAGTCATCAATTAAAACAGTGAATAGAATTACATCAGTCAGCAAGATAAGGCATCGTTACTTCCTAAAATGGAAATAATTTAAAGTGTGACGAGCACTGGGACAACAGATTCAGGTTCATGTGAATATTATCAGTACGCAGCAAATATTATCTTTATTAGAAAAGCCTTACTCTGAATTTGTAAGAATGCCAAACATAAAAACAAAGGAGGTTTCACGACTAAGTAACAGCGTAAGGTGAGCAGCCTCATCTCAGAAGGAAGCCAAGCAAGGAAACTAGAATAAATAAAACCAGAGTCTCTCGAGGCAGTTTTTACAGGATCTGTCCAGATACAGCTCTAATCCTTTGAAAGATGCATTTATAATGAACACTGAAAAATTGCAACATGTAATGGAGCAACAGTTCCTGTTTGAAGAGAGTTCCATTTCAAAACACAGTATTTAAGGAGGAACTCAAATGTGCAAACACAAAAATGCCAGTAATTGGCAAGAAGTAGCAACACAAGCATTTGGAAGCTTTTAAGGCATTTTAACATAACACAAATATAAGCACTTTGGGGAGTATCAGATAATGTTATAGGGTGGAGTTTCTTCTCTCTAAGCGTCAGCAGTTATCTCACTGCCTCTGGAAGAGAAATGTATCACCAGAGCTTTCAGTTTTGAATTCCATTATTCAGAAAATATGTAAACAAATTAGAGCATCTAGAAGAGAGCTGGAGCAGCAAAAAAGACTTAAGATAACTTAATCTGGGAAGAAAGAATTATTTTTTTTTTCTAAACAGAACAATAGGTATAGTAAGAATGTAACTCTTTAAAAGATATTAAAAGGTTGTTACTATTCTCCAAGTGGTGGGCAGGAAAAAACTTAGGAATTTATCTGAAGTACAGAAGATTTTGCCTAGATAGTCTAGGTACGTTCCATCAAAGGTTCCACCAGAGCCTCTTCAGCTTTGCATTTCCATGCCATTAAAATGGAGCATAAGCAGTGCCAGAGAATAAAGTTAGAAGTTTTGTTCAAACGTTGAGTCTTGACAAACAGAGCAATTCATGCACCTAAGCAAGCACTGGAAGCAAGACATCGCTACGCTACTTCAGTGAACCTAAGCAACACAGAAGAGAGAACTAATGAGTCGCCACGTATCAGTGCAAAGATATATGTGCAAAGAGTTAGGCTGGCTCCAACTCCAGTTAAAAAACCCAGAAGATATGAGATGTCACTAGGCTGAATCAGCTTGCTGTTCTCTAATCACATCAAAATGCATTTTAACGAATGCCTAACTTAATAAGGCTTGAACAGAGATTTAATGTTATTACATCGTTATTAGACAGCTAAGCGTAAAATAGGCAGCAGTTATCTCCAGCTACACCTTAGACTTTTGAAGTCACTGCACCCAACATGGACAAAGGGACACTTTTAGGCCATTGCACAGAGAATACGGATTTAGAAGCATTTGGGAGTGATGATTTCTTAAGAATTAAGCATGCTGCAGCTCACAAAGGTTTGGGAGGTTCTTCTCCCTTTGTTACAATTACTGAACAAGAACAACTCTGATGTCTTTGATTTTACCATAGAGAATTACGTGCAGTAAGCTTAACCCAGGGAATTTACCACCTAGTGCACAGAACAAGCCTTCACCTGGGCCATGAAAGGGTTATGCTTTTCAGCGTCCTCTATGGTAACTGTTACAATCTGTGTGCTGTAAAAGGAATAGAGAAAAAAATACCAGCAAAAAGAGACAAGAGTTTCAGAAAATGTATTTTGGAGTAGAGATGTTCCATGAATGGAAACAAAGGCTGTATAAAAGCAAGCACGAGGGGTCTCGAGCCCTCTTCTGTCCCCATCCCACCTTACCAAGGAATTAGCCTGATGAACTTTCAAGACTGGTTCTGCATCTTCACCTTTTCTCCCTTGCAAAAGCTGTAACATCTGCTTTCTGTATTTGCTCATTATAAGCTCTAACGCATCTTGGTGCTCCTCCAGCGAGATCCACAGCTCTGGGAAACACAGCATGCCACTGCCACAAACTACAAGCAATTTTTCACAGCGACGGCAGCAGATGCCCGGAGGTGCCAAGCCCCAGCTGCTCACTCGATTCGTGCCACCCCGCC